AAATGATGAACTAAGGACAAATCTTAGATGTACGCATCGTCAACAAACCAACTTCATTGAGAAAAGAATGTATGCCCACAGCTGACTAGAAAAGCTGTGATTGACTTTCAACTGTTACTACAGATTACCTGAAGTGAAACACTATCTTAAAACCAAAATTAACCACCAATATTAGATCTTTTCTGTTTTCTCCAACATAAAGCTCAAAATGACTTTATCTCATTTCTGCAATATTGACATAATCATCATTTTATTTGGAAAATCTGGAAGATGGTGAAAACCGAGGAAGATTGTCTTACCAGCTAGAAGTAGAACTAGAACAAACTTTCAACGAAAGGAAAGGACTAAGATGTAACAAAGTTTTTAATTGATCGTCAAGTCAAAAGAAATGCTTGTTTAAATAGTCAACTAATCTCTCATGTTTCTGTCATATATTGACATTCAATTTGCAGATATATACTCGCAAAAGAAAATCATCATGCTTCCTCTTCAACAATGCAGATTGGTTGCAGTCACAGCAATAAAAGGAAGTATAGATATAACTAGGAAACATCTCTTTATATAACTGACCCTCCAAGATAACAGGATAACAAAATTATATACAATCACCTAAATCTTTTTTGTGTGCCACAAGTGATGATTACGTATGGATCCGACGTCCCATTCAAATTAGCAGCAATGAGATTTTTAGCAGCTAATAGTTCAACCTGGAATATAGAAAAACACTGGTCAACTATGAATTGCTAACAAAGCTACTGCATGCATTTAAATCCCAAGACATAACGCATTACCTTTGTAAGTACTAGCAATAAAATACAATACACCACAATTAGAGATAAGAGTGATAACATATAGCAGGAGCACCAAGTTCAGAAATACCTTGATTATATATGCAGAATTAGTTTGAGGGTCTCCTTTTAACTGGCCCATCTGCAAAATAAGTGTAGAACTACATGTCAAACAAGCAGAAAGTACTCAATGTAAATAGATAATAGGTTTATAACCACAATTCCCAAGAGAGCTATTGAAACAAAGGCCAAAAAGAGGAAAAGGAAACAAACTAAATAAACAACCATCTCAATGTTATCCAGTTCAGGCAAGGTTCATAAAGTCTCAAATCAAGGAAAAATTTATCAAGAAACTCTCAGTGAAGTGGGAGATTCATGTTAACCGTGACTCCTGATAAATTTTCTGAAGTAAACATAACATACATTAATGTTAAATTATCAGCCCATTATAAAATTACCTGTATCAAAGAGATGAGTGACATTACTATTGATTAATTTGATAAAATGTTTTGCATAGAAAATATGTGTCAATTCCAAATCCAAAATTTCTAATTTTAATTTGGCAGCATATTACATCAGGATTTCATAACATAGATTGTTTATGTTAAGTGAGTGAACAGATGGGAACCACTGATTACTTTCTGGTTCTTGTGGATTAGAAAGGTAAGGCATAATTTATTACCAAGTCCTTCCCATGTTGTTTAACCTATTTACTATCTAGGTAGTCACCGTCAGCCTTCTTCAACGTAGTCTTCTCTAATTATCTTTTCAAAAGTTTTTTACCAGTAGTGTTTTCCCCATATATTTTAAATTTACAATTTCTATTTAAAGATAAATCAAACATTTTCCAACACAAAATCGAATGAAGTCAACCATCATAAACTGATCTAGGTCATATGATATGGGAGGATTCATATTTTGTTAAAATGTAGTTTAGGAGAGTGGTTAATATTGGAATATTCAAAAAATAAAATAAAAGCATTTAATCTAGAGTAGATGCAGTTTAAAAGAAAAAATCATCAATGCATGACTGATTAAAAAATCATTAACGCGTGGTTGATTTCTTCTATTTACTGACTCCTTTAACATGTTCAAACATATTAATCAGCTGGGAAGTTCAAAACTCCAAACATCTATTGCCAACTGCTTTAAATTTTATGAGTTAGCTTTTTCACAAATAACCAAGTGTATACTCCTTCCACTTCAAATTGAGGTTTTCGTTTCTAATTTGGTTCTTCAAACTTCAAAGTAATATCAACTTTCTCGAAATGGAACATTCGCCTTTTCCCAAGTAATTCAATAAGCTGCACTACAACTAGTGCTTGGCCCAAGAAATTTTTCTGGAAAAGGTTTAAAAGCAAAAAAGACATCTGTTTGCTAACAAAACAAATTACTTTTCCCAAAGAAATGTTTTCCTGAATAATACAAGAAACCTTTTTCCAAACTTATTCCAGTTAGCCAATAAGAATTCCTTTTTTTTTCTTTTTGATTTATTATATCTTTTCTTGTTAATTTTCAAATGTTCTTTCTCCCTGTTATCATGTTCCAGATTTTCAACCTTCATCTTATGCTATTCTTTTCAAAGCGAAAAATTATAATTTACCTTTCCTTTTTTACTTTTTTATATTGCTATGGCCCAAATAAATAGTTCTACTGCACATGTTCGTCATATTACTGTAATGCTTATATGGTGAAGGTGAAACGAATAATATGTTAGGGACTTTAAACCAGAAACATCTAATCAGACATGTAGTGCAAACATAATTATTTTCTAAATAATTTTGAACAAGAAAAAACTAGTCATATACACATTTCCAACAAAAGATTTTTCTAAATTCAAAATAAAATACAACAACAACAACAACAACCCAGTATAATCCTACTAATAGGGTCTGGGGAAGGTAGTGTGTACGCAGACCTTACCCCTACTCTGGGGTAGAGAGGTTGTTTCCGATAGACCCTCGGCTCCCTCCCTCCAAGAACTCCTCACCTTACTCTTGGGGTGACTCGAAGTCACAACCTCTTGGTTGGAAGTGGAGGGTGCTCACCACTAGAGCAACCCACTCTTGTCATAAATTCAAAATAAAATAAAATAAAAAATTCATAAACACCATCCAAGTGCACCTCCATCGGAATTTTCATCTTTAAAAAAGTTTGGAGTTCCTAAGTGACGCACTGAAAAAGGAAAACAACCCTGCAACATTCAAACTTTTGGAGTTAAGAAAGTAAACTTACACAATCAATCAATCAACTATGCCTCATCGATTAAAAAAAAATCCACTTTTTCATATTCACTTTTCCTTGAAGAGTAGCCTTGGCGTAACTGGTAAAGTTGTTGTCATGTGACCAGGAGGTCACAGGTTCGGACCGTGGAAACAGCCTCTTGCAGAAATGCAGGGTAAGGCCGCATACAATAGACCCTTGTGGTCTGGCCTTTCCCCAGACCCCGCGCATAGCGGAAGCTTAGTGCACCGGGCTGCCCTTTTTTTACTTTTTCTTCACGGAAGAATAACACTGAATGAAATATTTTACTACTGTATAGATGTTCATCGACACCGCTAGGGAATTCAATGAAGTTTAAAGATTGCCCGTCTGCTAATAAGGCAGGCAATGCTATCATTAGTTGTTTCACGGAAAAAAAGGGGGTTATCTGTGGTCTACACAATATAAAGGCCATAGAACACAACAATATTATTGCCAAATTACACATCATTCCATCTCCACATTATACCACAATATGTTGTTAGGTTTCTGAAATGTTTAGGACATACTCTAACTTATATACTATAACAACAACTCCTACTACTACTATGCCTCAATCGCAAACCAGTTTAAAATATCCAGAAAAAATGTAATTTCACACATATTGGCATTTATAAGGAGACCAAGTGACCACAATTCCCTAGCCTGACCCTTTCCAGGCAGCAATTTCAATAAGCATATAAACAAATATGACATTTAACGAAGTCAACCAAGAAGAGACGCAATCGTATTTCCTGATTCTTGGCATCTTTTCCTTAACAAGACACTCAAGTAAGCAATGGCAAAACCAAAGTGAATTTGGCCGTTTCCTACCTAGAAGTAAGTAGAAAGGCAAAGTTTTGCTTTTCCAAAGAGCAACCTAATTAGAAAGGCCTAACTTTACCTTTTCAAACCAGCAACCAAAGAAGCCTTCTTTCTCAGTTTGGCCTACTACTTCCAAAGGAAATCTTTCCCTATTAAGCATCACTACAGTATCAATGCAACATGATTCTTCACCTTTTCTTTCTAATTGCTATCACGCAATAACAAAGTCACTTTCTATCACTACAAAACAATTTCATGTAACTAACTGATACTGATCGGTCACGTAATTCCAAAAAAGACAACTCTTCCCACTTAAATAACTTGTAAAATACTGCTAAATTACCCCCAAAATCTCATCATCAGTGCCCAATAAAAAGAATTATAACTGAGAAATCCCCGAGAGTCAGTGGCGCACAGATCAAAGTCATAATAGGCCCATCCCTTTATCATTTTCCATTTAAATACTAGGCTTTTGTTTGCTGCAGGGTTCGATGCCCAACTTATCCAGTGAATAAATCATCAATAACCTATAACCTCTATCACTAAAATTAAAACCGTTAACAACAAGCAATTACTTGAAATTCTGTCCATATGCATTTCTTCAACAATTCCTAAATTAAAAAAACATAAAATAACATAAATTCAAAATAGCCACGCAAAAAAAAAAGTCTAAAAACCTTTTGCTTATCCTCGACGACACCACCGGAATCATCGACGGAAATGCGATCATCACCGCAGGCAGCGCCGCCGCCGAGGGCAAAGCACCAGTAAGAAATTATGATGAATGCCGTGGCGGCGACGGTGACTTTCACCTCCCACCACGACGGCACTAATACCTCCAACGCCGCCTCCACAATCATCTGGTTTACTGAAACTTTTTTTTAGACGCTATTTGAAGTCAATTGGGTGGTGACAAATTTGGTATTTGAAATTGTTGAGAAAAAATGGACACATATATATAGTTGGAAAGAAAACGGTGGATCAAAGGAAAATGGTGGAAAATTCCAAGCAGACAAACATTCCTACTGTGTGTCTAATATATATGTATCGTATATATACACGCAATGAGTGTGTGAATGTGTGAAAGAGACAGACAGGGTCAATGTCAAAGAAAGGAGGAGAAGGAGGACGACGACGACGAAGAAGAAGAAGAAGAAGAAAGAGGGGGAGTTGTAAATTGGACATTGTTGAAAGTTAGAGAGTAGAAAATAGAATTAAATAGTCTGTATTTAAATGACAGTTTTAGCCTTATTGTTCATAATGCTGATTTGGACTTCCTAACTTAAATAATAGGGAGGATAAGGGGTATTGTTGTAAATGTGGACTTTATAGCGTCTAGAAGGAAGTTTAGTGGTAAGTTGGAATTCAAAGTTAGAAAGTCTATCCTTTTTTTTTTTCTTTCTAAAAAGCCGTCCACGTGAGTTTTGGTGGAATTTCCAGCTTTTTGCTTCTTCATGGGGGCAAACAGGTCTTCTTTTAGTAAGTCTTGTAAAGGAGATTTCAACTATCGAAAATAAACTAATTTTATCCTCCGTTAATTTTGGTATCAAAAAAATTCTTAATGTAGACCATTTCTACCCATATTTACTAATGATTGAATCTTAAACTCTAAAATTTATCTAATTAGATTAATTAGCATAGTTGAAGAGTAATATTGATCCTTTTCTACAAATTTAATCCTCCTCTTTTAAATTCATTTAATATTTATACTTTTATTAGATTAATTAGCATAGTAAAAAAAGTTTAATTTTTGCAATTGAAAAATAAAAATAAAATATAAAAACAGTTTTTAAATTTTTGAAAAAATGCTAGAAAAACGAGAAGAAAACTGAAAAGGGGAAAAATTCCATACAATGCTAAACGCATGCTTCCTATGATTAATTAGTCAAAGTTTTCATTTATAAAGTTTAAAAATTATCTCAATTGAAGAAAATTTCAAGATTGCAAATGTGTCAAAAAAACATTTTTTTTTTCTGCAATTGGAGCCCAAAATCTTGTTTTATGCCTTGAATGTACTTCAAAACTCACTTGCTTTTGCTGAGCTTGATGAAAACAAAGAGGGCGTTTGGATTGACTTTTAAGCCGGTTAAATTAGTTTTTACAGCTTGTTTGGATGGTTGTTACTCATTATATTGTATCGTATTATTAATTTAAATACAATGTTTGTTTTGATTATTACTTAAATTTTATTGTATCGTATCGTTAAATCTGTCATTACGTAATGAGAAAAAGTGTCAATTTATGAAAGGACGGATTTGGTGTGGTGGCGCTATTACCTTGCTTTTTTCTCTCATCTTGCCCTTCATTATTATTAAATAACCATATTTTATCATTTATCCTACTTTTTAATACAATGATTCTCCTTTGTATCCTATTTTTTCTTGGTAATGTTGCAAGTTTATTCTTCATATTGTTGGTGTGTGACATCATGAACGGTGGTAAATGATACAATCTGTCCAAATATTGTATTCATTAAACAATATAGTATAATATAATACGATACATTATGAAACGACATGTAACAACCATCATGTAACGATCCGACCGGTCGTTTTGAGTTTTAGCATCTCGTTCGGTGGTTCGAGGTATTGAGTGGCTTCATATTGTATATTATGACTTGTGTGCATAGTCAGATTCGATTTTTGGATGCTTCGGGATCTATTTTTATAAGTGATTCTCACTTTAGAAGCTTAAGTTGAAAATGTGGACTGAGGTTTGACTTTTGAACGACCTCGGAACGGTGTTTTGATGGCTCTGATATGTTCGTATCGTAATTTTGGACTTGGGCGTATGCTCGGAATCGAATTCGGAGGTCCGTATGTTGATTTGTGTTGTTTTCCCGAAAGTTGACAATTTAAAGGCTTGGAATTTTGATAAGTTTGCCCGTAAGTTAACTTTATAGCTATCGTGTTTGAGTTTCTATTTCGTAACTTGGAATAGGTCTATTTTTGTCATTTGGAATTTGTACGCAAAGTTTAGCGTCATTACGAGTTGATTTGGTAGGAATCGGACGCGCGGTTGTGTTTTTTAGAAGTTCTTGAGCTTCATGTTGATTTCATGTGTTTTGGAGGTCCGATTCATGATTTCGGATGTTATTTTGGTGATTTGATCACGTGAGCGAGTTCATGTTATGTTTTTAGACTGGTATTGATGTTTGGTTTGGAGCCCCGAGGGCTCAGGTGAGTTTCAGACGCGTTTTAGAGTGCTTGAAAGAGTTTTAGTTTTGCGGGTGTTGAACAGGTGATTCAGGTCTCACATTTGCGAGATAGGGGTCACATTTGCGATATTAGGCTGAAGTCTGCTAGGTTCGCATTTGCGAACCCCTTGTTCACATTTGCGATGGGGATCTGGGTTAGGAAGTGGTAGCATTTGCAATCGATTTGATCGCTTTTGCGATGGTCCACAGTTCGCATTTGCGATGACAACAGGGGTGTGAGGGGTTTCGCTTTTGTGATCATTTTCTCACATTTACGAGGTTTGCATCTGCGAACCCCAGGTCGCATTTGTGACACCTGCGACTGAACATAAAAGCTGAGTGATGGAAATTTGGTCTCATTTTCATAATTTGGAACCCTAGACTCGGTAGGAGGCGATTTTGAGGAGGGATTTTCATCTACAATTTTTAGGTAAGTGATTTTGATCAATTTTTAACTATTTTAAATAATTATATATGAGATTTAACATCAAAATTATGAGAATCAAAGTGAAATTTTGAGAAACTTTGTTTATGTTTTGAAAAATGAGAATTTGAGTTTTGAGAGTCGATTTGGACTCGGATTTTAAAACTAAACACATGTATAGAATCGTGGTTATGATAGTCGGAATCTACCTTTGGACCCGAATTTTGGCCTGGCGGGCCCGAGGTTGACATTTGAGGAATTTTGCAAAGATCATAGCTTTGTTTATTGAAAGTAATTTCTCTTGCATTATTTGGTGTTATTAACTCAATTTTGGTTAGATTTGAGCTGAGCGGAGGTAAATTGTAAAGGAAAAGCTATTTTAGAGTATTGATTGAGGGCTTTTGAGGTTAGTATCTTGCTTAACTTTGTGTGGAGGAACTACCCGTTAGGGATTGGATTGTTTGCGCTATTTGAACTACGTAAAAGACGTGTACTCGAGGTGACGAGTGTGTACACGACTTTACATGTGGAAATTTGACTGGTGTAGACTCTTAGGGTTCTTATGCACACTAAATTGAAGTTTTTCTATCATATTATGTCGTCCATTGTTAAATTGACTCTTATATGCCTTATTTGAAGTTGTTGGTTCATGTCCTATCTTTTGTTGCCAAATATATTCTTACATTCCTTAATTTGTAATTGTTGCCTCTTTAGTGTTACATGTTATCCAATCCGTAGTTGATTATCCTTAATTGAAGTTATTGTGACATGTTATCTCTTCCGTAGTTGATTATCCTTAATTAAAGTTATTGTCACATGTTATCTCTTCCTTAATTGATTATCCTTATTTGAAGTCGTTGTTACATGTTATTTCTCTTATTATTGAACTACTCTTACTTGAAGTCATTATTACTTGTATGTCTTTCATCGTTGAATTTATTCTTTTCGTTTCATTGCATTGTTGTCATTCTTGTGTTGATTTACTTATTGTACCTCGTGTTATTGTTATTCTTGTTGTACTCGGTGTTGTTAATCCGTGGTCTATATGTGGTTGTGGTATTGGAATTGTTGTTGTGGAAATGTTATGGTGTATGGGCACATGTGGTGCGGGTTGTTATGTTGTTATGTTTTTTGCACATGTAGTATTATTGAGAGGATTGTCGGGGTGTTCGCACGTGAGTTGTCCGTGCTATTGTTATTATTGATATTTGCACATGCGGGCGTGACAAGGCGGGCTATACATGTGGGTTTGTGTCACGCCCTGACCTCGGGGAGCGCGACTGGCGCTCAACCGAGATACCCCAGTCGAGCAAGCCTGTACAAAGCCTATACAATGCCTTCTACCCGAACTCGCCCATGGATAAAGAGAAGATCTATTCCATTAATTAGACTGTGAGAAGATATCATTAGTTGCACCATCTATGTGTTCTCAAAATACATACATTTTCATAGTTTGGAGCGGAACATATGGTACAAATACAACATTACTAGTTTGACTTTCCCAACACTAATATACAACCCATACTATGTTTACGGAGCCTCTAATAGATACAAAAGAGTACTATGATAGTGCGGGCAATAAGGCCTCGGCTATACCTCAAAACATAATATACAAGGAACAAAAGATACACGACCCCGAAATGATGTGGGGCTCACCAAGTCAGCTGGGAAGAAAGTGTACCACTATCAGTGATCAAAGCCCATTGTTGTGGAACCACCTGCATCCATTAAGGATGCAATGCTCCTGGCAAAAGGGACGTTAGTACATATGGAATATTACTAGTATGAATGACTAAACACCCTCTCAATAGAACGAGTAAAAAAACAAGGGAGAACAATTATAGATTAAATGGGAGCCTCAAACAACACCAAGGCATCAAGTTAGGAGCAAGACAAGTTTTCAAGTAAGTTTCCATATTTTGGGTTGGGAGATCTTTAATACCGATATACCACCGTGATTTTAGCACGGAGTCCGATCACGGCCCTATCGGCTAGGCCGCCACACCCAAAGACATCAACCACAATCACAGACACTATCAAGATCTCAATCATTATATCAATCAAAATCTCAAGCACCATCACCACCATAAGTGCGGCATGGCGTCCGATCTCGACCCGATCGGCTAGGCCGTCTCACCACAATGTCGTGTGGATCGACATCACCCTTCGCTAGAAAATTATATAATCCCAATTTAAGGGGAATAATCTCATCACATGAATCTCATCCCAAATAAGGGTAATAATCACAATAAATTCCTACATCGACACGTGTAGTTTTGGGGTTAGGTTGTTTTAACCTACCCTTCCTCGGTGACTAACGATACTCCCAAATGTTTATTATATAAAGGACTTTCAGCTCATTTCATAATCTTTTACTCATATTTTCATTTCATTGGCTCTATTGGCCACAAATGTAATATCATACTTGGCACGTCGGTCGTATTTCATATTTCATGCTCGCCCCTCTCACTTTCAAACATCATCATGGGTTATCAACAACAAGGTATTTCTAATCAAGATTTAAAGTACATATATGAGAAATTAATAGTCTTAAGCACATTGAGCTTTCTTCCACAATTTGACATAAAAACTAGCAATTGAGACATAATTGAATTCATAATATTTCGACACATGGTCACATTTGAATACAATCTCGAAGGATAACACAATATGATAAGAGCATTCAGAATTCATTTTGAACATATATCTTTCGACACAGAGTTTATTCGGAAT